CCAAACAAACACAAACAAACCAAACACTGCAACAGATTCACACTTTGACCATTGACCAGAGCTGAACACCTTCCTCGGTGAGAAAGCGCACACTTCAACTTCAACTTTGGGATCACCTCTTCAAGAGTGTGTCCACCCATCTTGCAATCGATTCACTGGTCACACAATGTCAACAACGATGACAACAGAGATGTCAACACCAACACCAAAACCACCAAAACCACCAACACCAACACCAACACCAACACCGCCACTACCGTCGCCAAAACTACCGTTTCTGAAGCTGAACCTCGACGAGCCGGGCATCTCTCGCCTGGAGCTCCTCGCCGCCTTCCCCAACGTCCTCCAGGTAGTTCCTCCCACCCCCGCCACCGCCACCGCCACCACCGATACAACCACCACCGATACGGCCACCGCCGACAGGAAGATACCGCCGGCCATTCGCTGCCTGATCTGCCAGAAGACGCTCCTCTCGAAGGGCACCGCGCCGATCATTCAGCACCTGAAGAGCGTCGCTCACGGCGTCAAGCGCCGCTCCGCCGAGGAGGACATTCACCCGCAGGTGGCGATGATCCTCAACCAGTTCCCGAATGCCTTCATCCGCATCGGCCACACCACCATCCAGTGCGTCGTCTGTCGAGCGGAGCTGACCGGACCACGACCGGAGGCGAAGCGTCACCTGGAGACGGAGCAGCACCTGCGGGCGAAGGCGATTCGCGCCCAGCGGGACGCCGTCGACCGCCTGAGCAAGGAGCACTTTGAGCGCCTCTACGTGCAGAGCCTCTTCCAGGATGCGGCCGCCATGGTGGGGCGGGCGGAGGCCCTCCGCCGGGCGCTGGAGCCCCTCTGCGGCCGACCGCTGCCCTCCGTCGTGGCGGTGCGCCGCATTCTCACCGACCTGGAGAGGAACACTGATGCACAGGGCCACCAGGTGAGGGTCACCCTGCCCGAGGACCCGATGAAGCCGCTGCAGGCGCTCAAGATGGTCGACAAGGTGCTCAATGCGGAGAAGAAGAAGAAGAAGTGGAAGGGAACGGGTAAGGCGAAGAGGTCTGCTGCAGACATGAAAGAGGAGGAGGAGGACGAGGAGGATGAGGAGGATGAAGAAGGAGGAGGAGAACCAAAGGCTAAGAAGGCAAAGAAAAGCTTGAAGAAGACGATGGAGATTAAGATTAAGGAAGAGGAGACGGAGGAAAGTGATATCAGCAAGGAGGCATACTCTTTCTCATCCTCAGCCAGCAATTCAGTCAGCAACTCGGCGACTGAATCGAGCAATCTCGCTCNAAGAGGTCTGCTGCAGACATGAAAGAGGAGGAGGAGGACGAGGAGGATGAGGAGGATGAAGAAGGAGGAGGAGAACCAAAGGCTAAGAAGGCAAAGAAAAGCTTGAAGAAGACGATGGAGATTAAGATTAAGGAAGAGGAGACGGAGGAAAGTGATATCAGCAAGGAGGCATACTCTTTCTCATCCTCAGCCAGCAATTCAGCCAGCAACTCGGCGACTGAATCGAGCAGTCTCGCTTGCTACAATTCCGGATTCCAGGCCAACAACTTTGGCTTCCTGTAATCAACAACGGGGGAAAAGGGGGAGATCTATTGAATTGTAATTATTTTTCATTTTTTGTTAATACTATTTCCGCATTTTTCCTGTATAGCTGTGGTTGATTGTCCACTTTATCACTTTGTCAAATAAACACTACTCATTTATTTTTGTACAAAAGGTACTCTTTGAAAGAATAGCACGTTTTTCCTCATCATCACCAGGTGGCGCCAGCAGCCTCAAGACTGTTTGAGAAATTGGTGGAAAGATTTTGTACATTTTGTACTCTCTTTCTCTGGAAAAGTACCCAATGCCCAAAAGGAAAGAGAAGAAGAGTGGAAATTATCCACACTGCTGACAATGACTTGGGAGAAGTGTTTGTGTCCATCACTTCTGAAGTGAAGAGTTTGACTTTGAGTGAAGTGAACTTTGGCAAAACCCAACAATTATGATCAGTCACTCACTCGCCAAGAAGAAAGTAAGAAGTGGAATCATCAAGTGCTTTTAAAAAACAAACATAAAATTTATTTATTTTTCATGTTTTAATAATTATAAAGGAGTAAAATCAAAAGAAAAAGGAGAAAAAAGAAAGGGGGAAAGTGGGGAGGGTGGTGGGGAGACTGATCAATTCTATAACTTAGAATCATCGTTAATAAGTAATAAGAGTAATGTGTTGGTGTGTGATTGCATGTGTACAACAAGTAAGTAAGTAAAGTAATGAATGAAGTGAGATTTGCATCAAGCAAAGGAAGAGAAGAGGGGAGAACTCCATCATTTCATGACCAGAGAATGATGAAAGTTGAGAGAAGAGAAGATAGAGAAAGTGGTGACGGTCGCAAGGTCTGTCTGTCTTGAAGGTGGTAAAGTGCAAAAGTATTTACAAGAGATAGAAAGAGAGTGGACTGGTGTGTCGGTGACTGAGGTAAAGTATGAGAATAAATTATAGCAAAAGAAGAGAATAGAATAATGGGTTGACGAGAGAGCGAGAGAGAATAAATAAGAATTGAGTGAAAGGAAAGGAAAAGGAAAGGAAAGGAAAAAGAGTAATAAGTATGTACAGAAGGAGAAGTTAAAATAGAAGTAGAAGAGTGGAGCGCGAGACCATTGGGAGGAAAGCAACAGAGAAGGTGGTTTGAGTAGTTTTTTTCAAGTAAACTTCATCATCATCTTTCATCTTTACATCTCACTGACGGCGATCATCATCGGCGAACAGGTGAACTGCTGCTGGCCGTTGGCGGACACAACAGTCGTCGAGGAGGAGTTCTGCTGCTGGCGCTGAATGACCGGGGCGACGTTCTCGCTGAGGAAGCGCTTGCAGAAGGCAATCTGCCGCTCCAGCAGGTCAATCGACTGGCGCAGGTCGCGGTTCTCCGTCTCGAACTTCCCAATGTCTGACTCCATCATCTTCTGCTTCTCGCGCTTGGTCATGCGAGGCTTCTTTGAGGAAGAAGAAGTGGTGGTGGAGTTTGTCGTGCCGGCGGCCCTCGTCGCCGAGGCTGTTGAGCTGCTGCTGCTGGAGCTGCTCGCCGAAGAGGCGGCGCCGGAGAAGGCCGCGGCGGCGTTGCGCTTTCGTCCCGTCGAGGAGGTGCTCGGAATTGGCTGCTGCTGCTGCATCTGAGGCTGAAGGAGAACACTGTTGACGGTGCTGGGCAGCTGTTGGGAGTTGTACTGCTGCTGATTCTGTTGCTGTTGCGGTGTGCAGTAGTACGCCAGGTCGGCGGCGCTGATGGTCGTGTAAGAACTGTTGTCCATTGGCTGATAAAGCTGCTGCTGCTGTCCGCTCTCAAACTCCTCAATGACCGTCGGCTGGTAGATGGTGTCCACTGGCTCCTGTTTGATGCTGATCAGCTGACCGTTGTGGGAGATTATCTGCTGCTGCTGTTGCTGTTGCTGCTGCTGCTGCTGAATCTGCTGAATGGCGNGACCGTTGTGGGAGATTATCTGCTGCTGCTGTTGCTGTTGCTGCTGCTGCTGCTGCTGAATCTGCTGAATGGCATCCAGATTGGTGAAGGTCTTGCTGCTCGCCGAGTCGCTCGAGTAGTGCGAGCTGGCGGGCGAGGGCGCAAGTCGGGAGTTCAGGGAGTTGGTGGAGGTTGAGGAAGTGCTGGTGGTGGTGTTGATGGAGGAGTTCAGCTCAGTAGAGGTCATACAGTCGGAGAGGAGGTAATCGTAGTTGTTGGAGGGGTTGATCACTCCTTCACAACCGCTTCCGCTGCTGATGCTGCTGCTGCGGGAGTTGGGCGCCGAGCCGGTGGCGTACCCGTTTGCCTCTGGTGAGCCGTAGAAGGCGAGCTGCTCGTACTCCGCCACCTGACTGTAGAAGGTGGGGTCGTCCTCGATGTTCCCCAGGTAGCTGCCGGTAGGGTTGGTGTGGTAGGAGGACTTGTTGTTCGGCGATGAGGAGGAGGTGGAGGCAGAGGAGGAGGACATCATCTCCGGCGAGTTGATGTTGATGATCTGAGAGGAGATCTCCAGCTGCTGCTGGGGAGAGTAGCTGCTCGAGGTCGAGGTCGAGGGCATCTGAAGGGTGTTCATCTGGTGAACCGGGGCCACCAGGTCGCCGAAGATGGCATTGCCGTTGATCAGTGTGGTGGTGCTGCCATTGCTGATGCTGCTGCCCATGTGGTAGGAGTCCTCGGTGGCGCCGCCCAGCAGCGGGTCCACCTTGGCCGACTTGAGGTGCACCTTCTCGTTGCTGAAGAGGTTGCCCTCGTTGAAGAAGTCCGGGTCAATGTTGGGCGTGTTGAGGGCGTCGACGCCCAGCGCCAGGTAGTCGTCCACCTTGGCCTGGTCGGCGTCGAGGTGGCTGAAGGAGGGCTGGTACTGCGCCTGGTAGAAGCGTAAGTGGTGGTGGGCGGTTTCCATTGCGAGTTGGAAGGTTGAAGAAGGTGGTTTACAGAAGAAGAAGAAGGTAAATGCAAACTGATTTTGCAAACTGGAGCTCTTAGGGCAAACACTGGAGTTGTTGCCCGGAGGAGGGTAGTAACTGGTTCAAAAGTGGAGTTGTTGTTGAATCAACAGATTAAACAGAGCAAGAAGAAGGAAGGAAGTTCACAGAGACACAAAAATTGTGGAGTTATTCAGGACATTAGGCAAAAAGCAATTGTCGCACAAACAAACAAGTAAGAAGAAGTAACTTTTAAGATTTGGTAGTGTGTGAAGAAAGTGCGAGAAATTGCGCGCGAGTTAGCTTTAGAGAGTGGTAAGGCTAGTGGTCGAGTGTTGGGAGCTCGAGTGCGTGAATGCCGCCGCTACGGAACATCATGCGCCTTTTATAATCGCGGGAGGCGCTGCCGCTGCTGCTGCTGTGGTCGTGGTGGAAGTCACAGTGCTGGATGGCGCCGGATGGTGTGAGCTAGCTGCCAGAGAGAGATAGTAGCTCGGCTGGGAAAAAGCAGGGAGAGAGAGAGAGAAAATGTAGTTTGGATACTCAAAAACTGTGAGAGAGAAGGAAAACGCGGACGGCGGGCGAGCACTGCTGCTGCCACTTCCACTGCCACACTTTGCAGATACAGTGTGGAGAAGGAGCTACAGAGAGCTACTCTACTCTACACACTATCTCTTCCAAGCTTTCCTCACCAGCCAATCGTACAATAGCATGACATCATTTTCCGCCAATGGGAAAACGGCATGATGTCATGGTAAAAGAAGTGGAAGGGACTACTACTGTCTACTCTACACTACACTGTCGACGACAATGAGGGAGACAAACACAGACACTCACATACACACACACAAACACACAGGCGCCCCTTGTGACTCGCTGCTACTTTGGCTGCAGGCTGCCTGCCAACGACGACGGCGATGATAGCAGCGAAGAAGGGAAGAAGAAGGGAGCACTAGTGAATTGTAATGGTGGTGGTGGTGGCGCCCGCCGGATGCTAATAATGTAAGAAGAGGCTGCCACTGTGTGCCAGTGCC